GCAGGCCCTGCGTATCCTCATGTTCCTTGATTTCAGAAGAATGGCCCTGTGTTTTTGGCTAGAGTTGTCCATGACTATCAATCAGCAGACATATCCTTCCAGCACACCGGTTCTTACCAATGTCCACAGTCCTGTGTGTGCAGGCACTGAGGGGCCCTCTAGTGAAGTTCTGTCCTTCTGTACTTTCATGGAAGTCCTGGAGCATTACTGGAGTGCATTTTTCCTTTGTCCTCTTATTGAGTGTCTGTAGAACATTCACATTGATGCCCAGTTCCAGGATGTATGCATGACCTTACAGTCATAGGTGATACGCTTTCTTGACCTACCAATTCAGCCTGAAGAACTGGGGAAATACCAGTGCTGAGATAGTCACCAAAAAGGTGTAAGGTTGTGGCTGGGGCAAAGGGAGGTAATGGGGATGACGAGAGTCAGGGAGCTAAAGGAGGATGGTGGCAGCCAGGCAGACTAATTCCCACTTGGTGGGAAAGTTTGCTCCTGGTTGGAACTGCTTCACTCACCCCAAGCCACCAGAAGCTCCCGGTTTGGATCCATCTATGAGTCCCATGTCCATCAAACCACTTCCTCTGTCCAGGATTTAGTGTTCTATGGAATGCAAAGATGGTTTGGGTCAGGCAAGCCACTACTCTATTTTTGTTTTTAACCAGCTACATTTACTTCTTACTTCTTGCCTGGGTTCTGAAGTCTAACAGATAGAAAAGTCTTCCATTCTTGTCTTTTTTACCGTCAAATGCTCATTGGCATGTTTTCAGCTGCAAGCAAGAATTAAAAGTGGCTTAAACAAATGAGAATTTACTTTCCTTCTAGAACAAGAAGCCTGGAAATAGGCACCTGATGGCATTGTTTAAGCAGCTCAACACTTTCAGGTTCTCTTCACCTCTCCTTAACCAGTTAGCACGATCCTAGACACCCACATTCAAGTCAGGAAGAACGCACAGATAGGGAGCACAACTACCAGCCACATCCATCCTTACAGCAGGAAAGCAAAAGCTTCCCCAGAAATCCTCAGAAGACTTCCAATTATGTTTCACTGGTGAGATCTCACCCCTAACAATATGGCCACGTGGTAAAAAGAGAATTCAGCCTTTCTGGCCTCTGAGTGGAGTTCAGGTTACTAAGACGGAATGGGTGTTTGGATAGGAAACCAACTGTGTCTTTCACAGAACTTTTGGTCTTATTTTTCTTTATAGTCTTTTTGGTAAATTGTATAAATCATTCTAACAAATGCAGCAAACAAGTCACTCCATGATTCCCTAAGAACTCTAGTCCAAAGAGGTTAGTCTTGCTTCTCGGCTCCAGGCAGAGAAGGACCTGCACAGCCTGATCCTTCCTGTAGTAAAGCACAGCTCTGGAGACCCCAGGAGGTTGCTTCAATAGACTAACTGACTTTCAGCCTCCCACCTTCTGGGTGAAGGCCCACCCATCACTCTCCGGCACCAAACTGCCAGCTCTAATTTTAAATTGAGAAAGGGGGAATTGAGAAAACAGGAAACTGACTTTTTTGGGAGTGTAATAAAAGCAAAACAGGAAAAGGAAAAATGAAGACATTTGGTTGATACAGATCATTTGATTTTAAAAGGAAAAAAAAAATTTGTGGGTAATGAAAAAAATTCAAAATTTGGAAACGCATTATGAACCTAAAAACTGCTCTAAAAAAATAAGTCTTAAAAAGATGCATAATCTTGGCTGGTTAAATAAATATGCTGTCTTGTTCTTAGGCATAACATAGTATTTATGAGGTATTTTGAGTTAAATAGAAAAAATGTGAAATACTACGGTTTGGATGATGTGCTGTTTTCCAAATTAAAAACACCATAGCAGAAAATATCCCCCAAAGAGCCATAAAAACTTTGTTGAATTGGCAACAGGTCACCTCCCAGGGACTGCAGAGGAAGTGTACAGCAGCTCTGACCAATCATTTCTAACATAACAAATATACAATAAATCACATTTACTATTTTACATATACTTGCTAAAAACAGAATCCATGAGTAAAGAAATAAATGCACATGAATAAGAAAACAGTTCTTATTAAAGGCCCAAATAAAATCTTTCTTGCTAATTTAATCAAATCTCAATATAAACAAGTGAGAAGTTACCATTTTAATTTGAAAAAAGCAGAACGTGGGGATTTGGGAGATGGAGGGTCCCTTGGATTTCATCTGGATCCAATTCCTTATTTTATATAGGGGAAGAAACTGAGACCTAAGAGTCAAGCAACTTGCCAAAGCCAAAGCTAATGTATTAGTTACCAGCAGAGGCTGGAAGCCAGGATCCAGATGTTCCCCGGCCCTGCCCCACTGGGCCACACAGCCTCCCAGACTGAACTGGCCTCTTTCCAGGAAGGTTTTCTTTTCTCCTTTAGCTTTAGAGGTAATAGAAACAAGAAAATATATAACTGATCATCCCTTAGTAGCCTGGCAATTTTTTTTCAAAGTATGCCGTCAGTTGAAAAAGTAACTGTTGGTTTTATTAATAGCAACACACATTTCAAGAATACATTCAGGACTAAAAATAAAACCCCTTTTGAGCACAAAAGCTCTTCCGTGCGACTTCTCCAGGAGTATGCAGGATAAATGGTGCTTTGCAATTACCATCATAGTAAAAGTCTTAGGCTCATACACAAAACACCCCCAGTTCTTGTCAAGCAACATGACAGTGCTGGCAATACTGCACGTGGCTCTGGCATTGCCTGCACTCCAGGATTTCCTGTAACCTTGCCTCACACACGGACCACCAAGCCCACTCCAACCTTTGTGCTTCCATCTCTCCACTCAAACTGCCTTACTGAAGTCAAGAGTAAACTGTCACTAAATACAAGGCTATTTTCCTACGTCTATCTGAACCTCTCAGCAATCTTGTCATTTGTCCCCCTCCCATTGTATCATTTTCCCCATTTTCCTCCTAGTACTTTCCCTTGCAGAATTATCTTCCTCTACCTGTATGTGCTGAGGTTCCTCAGGCCTCAGCTTTATAAACTTTAGGCTTATACTGTCTTCCTAGACAAGCTCCTCCTGGCCTGTTTTCGTCCTTATCAGGCGTACTCCAGTAACTCCCCAAGTTGTGTCTTCACTCCAGCTCAAAGATTTCCTGCTAGACCTGTAAATCTGATTATTTCACATCTTTAATTGATGTCTCAAAATCAAGACAGCTATGTACTAACTCATCATCTCCCTCCTCCCCAGTCCACCTCTCTTGCTGTTTCCTGTCTCGGAAAATGGCACCAGGGCACTGCTCTAACAAGCTAAACAGACCAGACCCGTCTAATTCTTTTCATCCCTCTGTGCTCTCCACTTCCAATCCCTCTCCAGTGCAGTTGATCTCACCTACCAACAACTTCTATCATCTTACCCCCAGCCTCTCCACACTACCACATCTCACTGCAGTTGTTTCCCAACTAGTCCCCTAGCATCTCTCTGGTTTTCCTCCACTGGCTTTGAAACTTAGGAGTTTGCTGTGACAATGCTCAGAACGCTCCCTCATGCTCTTACTAGATTCCTAATGTAGCCTATGAAGTACTCTGTGGTCTAAAGCCAGCCCCCTGTACCCTACCTCTCCTCAATGTGTCTCTATACTCCACCCTTTGGCAGTTCTTTAAACTCATCAGTTCCTCCAACCAATAGGCCTCCGTACATGTCATCCCCTTTAATCAGAATGCAATCGCCTCCCTTTGCTAACGTCAGCATACCATGGTTTCAGCAGTCATCCTTACAGACACCTCCACTGACAGCAGTGCTAGGCCAGATTCTTTTTTTTTTTTTTTTTTNTGTAGTAACAAGCTCACTTTGTTTTTATATAATTAATGTCTATCTTTTCTATTTCTTAAGATCATAGGCAATGTAGGACTGTCTTTGCACAGTGCCTAACAGGACCTGGCACATATGTTTAATAAACTTTTGTTGAGTGAATGAAATTATTCCTGTTGAGTGAATGGTATTCCTGATGTTAGCAAGTATAATCCACTTTGAGTTTGGAAATACAAATGCAAAGCGGAATATATCTAATAAATCTGGTCTCCCTAAAGGGTATTATGGTAAGTGAAATAAGCCAGGTGGAGAAAGACGAGTACCATGATTTCATTTATTTGTGGACTATAAAAACAAAACAAAATGAACAAAACAGCAGTAGGCTCACAGACACTGAGAAGTGACTGGTGGTTACCATGGGGGAGGGGGGAGGGGAGGGAGAGGATAAAGGGGCACAAAAATTCTTAATCATAATATAAATTGGTCACAGGGATGGAAGTGCAGCATGAAGAATATAGCCAATGGTTCTGTAACATATTTTTATGTTGACAGCAACCACACTAGTTGGGATGAGGATGTAAGAATATGGGTAACTGTCGAACCGCTGTGCTGTATACTTGAAACCAATATAAGAATGTATATCAACTGTATTTCAATTAAAAAAACAGCAAAAAATAAAATCTGGTCTCCATTCTTTTAATGAGACTCCCACCTTTGGTCACTCCGCATATTCATTTACCCAACAAGTACGGAGAGAGAATCAACGTGGAATGCTTGATTGATGATGTTGCTCTTATATTTAAGAAGATGACTAATGTTTTACAAGTAAGGTTTAAAAAGTATTTAAAAAAATGAAACAGGAGAAAGCTTGCTTCATTTCACAGAGAAAGATTTCTCCTTCATGTTACTTTAGAAGGGAGATGAGGATTGAGATTCAGCATATCTGGGAGCTGGACAGGCCAGCGCTACCACAGTGTACACATGCAGATGCCACCCTTCCCCCACTGTTTCTAATACATGCAACACAAAAGTAAAGACAGCAGGTTCTCTTTATTTATAACAGGGAAAAACTGAAGTTCAGTCACTTCAGGCAGGATTAAAAACAAAGTGCAGTTACATCTGGAACATAAGGACAGCTGTGTGCTTCCACAGCGCTGAGCATCTGCTCTTCCTCCATGGTTGGTCCAGCCATTCCCCCAGGAATTTCCTTTTCAATGGGAAGATCGTCTTCGGGGCAAAAGATGTTCATCACGCTCTAGTCCCAGCAGCACAGACTTGACACTTACATACATGCATCCCCACCTCTCTTGTTCGTTCCAACCCTCTTACTGTGTTCCTATTGACATCAGTCATTACACCCCTCCCCCAAGATTTATTAGAAACCCTCCCCAAGATGTGTTTACAGTTAAGAATTTGAACGTGGCACAAATTAACACAGTTGTCTGTACACAGGAATCACATAATCCTCATTGTGCTGAAATACTTTTCTCCAATTTCGGGGAAATAATTATACATTAATTTAAGTGTACACAGAGAGCATTCATTAGACAAAAGTAATGCCTGAGGCTCAACTCTTAAGACAAATTGCTTTGTACTTCACAGCACAATAAAATCTGTCTTGGAAACTGAGAAGAATCAAATAATACTTAAAATAAAAACAGAAAATAACACATCCTAATCACATAACAGATTGACTGAAACACTGGAATTTTGTCAAAAAATAGATTTTTCAATAAGGCTTTTCATTTCAAACAGACCAGGACAAAAATTCTAAAAGGTGTATTTTATACATGTGGCTCTTTTGTCCTCTCAAGAGCTGTTTTCTCATTTAAAGCTTATAAATAATATGTAGAAAAAGAATTATGTATTGGAAGAGGGATTACCTGTCTCAGTCAATTATTGTTATCAACAAGTGATTTTAATGCTCACATGTCAAGAACTTGGAAGGCAGAAATACACTTTGCGATTAAATATATGGTACTTTATTTCCTTAAGTAGAAATCATGTATTTCTCCTACACCCAAATTGTTTTAAAAGTATCCCTTTAGAACTCTTGGAACTAGTTAAATATTGACTATTCTTCTATTTCTCTTTCAAATCTTGCCTCATATTTTCATCAAGTTTCTGCTTAGTGTTTGGACAGTATTTGCCCTGACTTGTTGCGTAAGAATTTTCCTCAGCCACCTTAGAAAGGCTGGACATAGCTCATTCCAATTCCTTCAATGTCAAAGGAAATCCATGGATGCCTCAAATGTGAACGGTAGGGAGTGATAGCAGGGAGGTGGTTTTAAGAAATGACCCACACGAAATGCTCAGAGGCTAGAACAGTTACCAGGATGCAAAGTCTGCTCTGTTCCATCTACCACCTTTTCTTTGGGCCATTTAAACATGGGGCTACTCTGTTTTCTAAGTTCAGGTATAGTTTCTAGAGTTTACAGAGAGCTCAAAAACAAGAGCATACCTATCGAAACTGTAGTTTTTTGGATAACATTGAAGTCCTTAACATCAATTTTCTATACAAAAGGGCACTTTCAGAATTGGATTTTGTCTTATGGTCTTTATTCTTTACTATACTTTGCTTTCTATAAATATTTCATTTCTGTGCATGAAATAAACAGGTAGTTACATTCAGCCAACTAAAGCAGAAATGCTAGATTTAAATTCAGACTTGAACACTTTGGCCGAAATTGTAACAGAGCTCACACTGGGGACCACCTACAAGCACACAGAGGAGCCCTACGTGTCTCTCCCTATGAGAGTAGGAACACTTAAAAACCACCACATGTTTGCAGTGCGGTGATACGAATTTCGTTGTCACTACAACAGAACTTTAATTTCAGGTACTTCATTGGGTAGAACAGAACCAAACTATATACCTCACAGAATCTCTCTGAAAAGAAGCATAAGCCATGGTTTTAAGAGAATTAAATTTTTTTTACAAGGTACTGGTATTCTAAAAAAGAAAACTGTATTTCTGAATATAATTTCCTTTGTGTTACTTCTGGCAAACGACCATTCAATAAATTTTGCAATGTAATTTCTTTCCTTCTTTGAAAGCAACTTGTACACTTACTTAACTTCCCATCTTCTTAGGGTACCTTTCTTTTCTCCACACAAGCCCAACTAAGGACGCTGTGCCAGTTTACTCTTACTTCCTTCTTGTTCACTGAGTTTAAAATGGGTATAGGCGAGAATGCCAAATAACGTACATAACATGCCGAGACCCTGATTAACTGACAACGGATCCTTGAACAAAACGTATCCGCCAAATAAGGTGATGCAGAACTTGAAGTGTCCAAACATGTTGTAGCTGAGGTTTCCAGGTAAGGATGAGAAGGGGTAACAAGTTGGATGTTACATTCACACAACCACACACACCTACACTTACACATACTTGAGACGAAAGCTTCCCGGGCTGGAAAGAACTACATGAAACACAGACCGAACAGCAGGCCCCCCGCCTCCCCAGCTAAAGAACATCAGGAACTTCAGTGAAGTGGTGGGCCAATCCTAGTGTCCTCAGGGAGGTTTGGCACTGAATCAGTGACAGGAGACGGCCTCAACTGTCCCTGTGGGCCTCTCCAAAGAAGAGAAACGGGGCTACAGTATAGCGTGGGAGAGGAATTCAGAACGAGGTACAGAGAAGGTATTTTGCACAGCAGTTTGTGACTAGGTTTTGTAGTGCCATTTCTAGTAAACTTCCATTGGCAGATGAGGGGCAATGTGTAAGGCGCCAGAGGGCTGACCCATATGCTCCAGTTTAGGAGGCAAACGGGGACAGGGGAAGAATATGAGCACCAGTGGCATACCAGGTGCCACGCTGGGCATGCACGTCGCACCATTTTATTTAAGCATCACATTTACTTTCACTGCCAGGTGACTCTTCCCATTATACAGCTGTAGGGGCTCATGGATCTGAAGTACTTAGACCACAGACCAGCACGTGGCAGCGCTGGGGCCCAGCACAAAAGGGTCTCTCTCACTCCAAAGTCGTGTTCTAGCCTAGTTATACTGCCAGTAACTCACTGCTGGATGAACAGGTTTCCACATTCATTTAAAAAACAAACTAAGGACACACACACAAACACTGTTCCTTTAAAAACTATCTTACCATATACACAATGGAATATTATTCAGCCATAAGAAACATATCATACCATTTGCAACAACATGGATGGGGCTAGAGGGTATTATGCTCAGTGAAATAAGCCAGGCGGAGAACAAGTACCAAATGATTTCCCTCATCTGTGGAGTATAACAACAAAGCAAAACTGAAGGAACAAAACAGCAGCAGACTCACAGACTCCAAGGGACTAACAGTTACCAAAGGGAAGTGGTTGGGGAGGATGGGGAGGGAGGGAGGGAGAAGGGGATTAAGGGGCATTATGATTGGCACACATAATGTAGGGGGGGCACAGGGAAGGCAGTACAGCACAGAGAAGACAAGTAGTGACTCTGTGGCATCTTACTACGCTGATGGGCAGTGACTGCAATGGGGTGTGGGGGGGACTTGATAATATAGATGAATGTGGTAACCACAGTGTTGCTCATGTGAAACCTTCATAAGATTGTATATCAATGATACCTTAATAATAATAAAAAAATTATCTTACTGTATTTTAAATACATTTTTTCCTACATAAATTAGCACTTTATTTTCTGGGACGTTTGATGTGTCCCTGTCTACTCTTCCTGATAACAATACTGGAAATAGCTACCACCCCGTGCCCCAGCTTCCTTGTCTGTAAAATGAGAATAGGTATCTTACAGGGTTACTGGGGGGATTACCTAAGTCACTATATGCACAGCATCTAGAACATAGTAAGCACCTTATTTACTAGCTGTAATAATATTATCAATAGTATCACTGCATAATCAACACCTGCCAGGTGCCTGATACATATTCCCTCAGACACGATACCCCAACCTGGTGGAGTATCACCCCCCATTTCCTAAGTGATGAGAGTGAGAGTTGAGAGTCCCCAAGACCTGCTCAGGCCACTGCAGTGACAGAGCAGGGCACACACACCTGGTCTGTGTCACCTCCAAGCCCCGGCTTGCTCTGCAGCCAGCCAAGCAGCCTGGAAGTGCCCTCTGGGCAGAACAGCGGGGGTGTGTCTCCAGGGTGCCTGTGCTTGCCAGACTGGGTAGAGGTAACTTCCTGAAAGACGGGGATCTTCCCAGTGGTGTTAATTATAACGTTAATGAAATATACTTTTTCAGTTGTGAGCTACCTTCAAATGCACGGGCTCTACCACTTCAGCATTTCTTTACTCAGTCTCTTTTTAAATTGTTAATGGTCTGTTGAATTTATTTATACTAGAGGGAAGGCAAATTTAAAAAAATCCTCCAGTGAATTAAAAAAAAATGAAAAAGCAATCCACACTGGATGTTTCCAGCTCCCAACCCTGTTCTCTGCTCTGCTGCACGCAGGCTTCCACCCCAACACCCTGCATGCACTCGGCAGGACCGCCGGTGCCCTCCACTTACCAGGCCCCGCCGCCAACACCAGCTTCTCGTGCGCTCGGTCTGGCCAGGGCATTCACCGCGGCAGATTCTCACCTGGCTTCCACACCACCCTCCCGCCTTCCGCCTTGGTTATGCCTTCTCTGCCTCTTCTGCCCTGCTCCTCCCACCCTTCTGAACTCTAAACACTGAAGGGACCCAGGCCTCAAGCCGGGGGCATCGCTTCTTCCTCGACTTGTTTGCTCAGTAATCTCAACCAGTCTCACTGCTTCACACCACATGCACACACTCCTGACTCGCTCTGGACCATCTCCAGCTGAGACCCTGACCCTGAATTCTCAGATTTGTTTTACCTCGAGTTTGATCTTCCTCTCCTGAACCCTCCTTCCTGCCGCCCTATCTCAGCTGATGGCAATTCAATTCCACAAGGTGCTCAGGCCAAAGCCTGTGATTCAGCCTTGCTTCCTCTCTTATTCTCCACATCCAATCTGTCAGCACAAGCTGCTGACTCTACTTGAAAATATACCCAGAGCCCAAACACTTCTCACTACACCCACTGCTGCCATCCTGGCACCTCACCCACTGCATCTTCAGTAGAATACTGCAGTCAACTCCTGGCTGCTGCCCTCCTTCCCACATCTCCTCCAGTCCAGCGCTTCTCAGCCAGGGATTCCGTCAACTCGGCAAGGTCTGGAAACATTTCTGCTCGCCAAATTGGGGAATCGGGGTGCTACTGGCATCCAGTGGGTGGAAGCCAGGGATGCTGCTAAATTCCACACAATGTACACAGCGGGCCTTAGACTATTCTCAACATTGCAACCCAGAGTGATCCTATTAGAACAGAAGTAAAATCATGTCATTTTTCTGCTCAAAACTCCAATGGCTTCCCATCTCACTCAGACAACAGTCCTTATGTAAACGTTCCACTTGGTCTGGCTCTGCTACCTCTGAGTCCTCCATACCCCACCCTCCGTTCTTCCTGCTCCAGCCACACAGGCTTTTGTGTTGCTCCCTACAGCCTCTCACCTGCTGCTCCAGTCCATCTGCCTGGGATGCTGTTCAGCCCAGTCCACATGGAGCAACTTCATTCCCTTCAAGTCTTTACTCAAAAGTCCCCTTTGTATAGAGGTCTTCTTGACCACCCTCCATACAATTTCAACCCTGCCCAACATTTCATATCCTTTTTCCCTGTTCTTTTCTGTCGTTGGCAACTTAACATCATCTAACACTGTGTATGTGTTTTATTTTTCTTGCATATATTGTCTTCCTCACCAGAACTTAAGCTTGTGAGAGCAAAGAATTTTGTCCATTTGGTCTACTCCTGCACATCCAGTGCCTGACATACAGTAGATACTCAGTATGTAAATATTCATTAAGTCAATGAATGGTTTATAGCACATGTTTAGTAAATGTTTGTTGAATAAATAAAGGCTCTTAACAGGAGGCCTACTTGGATGCCCTGATTTGGCAGCATAGCATAGACTGCAAGGTTTCAGATCTGGCTGGACACCACACTTCGCAGCTGTATGACCTTAAGAGAGTTACTTAATCTCTTTGCACCTCCATTTCCTCCTCTGCAAAATAAAATGATAGAACTGATCTCACAGAGTGGCCATGAGAATTAAATGTCTAATACACACGAAGTGTTTCAAACCATACCTGGCATAAAATAAATGTTTATTAAGTGTTAATTTTCTAAAAGATTATTCTTATTATCATAGTTTTTATTGTAAGCAAATATGCTGCTTCTTTACTTTATTGACATCCTCAGTGCTCACTCACTCATATAAATCAATGCACTCTCATACAACGTTAGTAAACTACTATCCTGATTTGGGGAAATCCATTCTTTTCATTTGCTGAAGAGTGGAGGCAGAGTGAAATGAGAGGAGATACAAAATGCAAGCAAAATGTTAAAAAAATGGGCCACTGAGTTTGATTCAGACTTTCCAGATAGGATTTCATTTCTCAATTTGAAGTAATATTGAGAAGAACAGGCACACACATATCTAAGTACATACAAAAAATACCCAGAAGTCAGATGGTGATGATCTGAAATCATCTTGTTATTTGCGTTAACCATACCTCTACTCCATTACTACGGATAACTGAAAATGATTGAAAACCCAAGTGTCCACCCCATTATTCACTCAACGAATGTTTAATCCCACTATGTGCAAAAAAATGGTGCTCTGTTAATTTTGAAAAGGAAAAAGGTCACTTACAACTTAAGAAAATTCAAAAGCATTCAATGATACAGAAAAAGCTAACCCATTACTCCAGTTCATATTTCTTAAATGTCCAAGACTCCAGCATAGATGGACTAAAAATAACTTACTCTGTTCAAACCAGGCCATGTAATAGTGTGAGACTCAAACAAGGAATGTGACAATTTTGGAAACTGTAAGACCATGCGTTTGTGAGTTACTGGGAAAAGGATACGTGACGGGTGATGTGTTCCCAATGATCCAATAAATTGATAAGTTCACCATGAAAGCTATTACTCCAGATAACAGCACCATAAGCTACAAATAAACCAAAAAAATCATTAATGCAAAGCAGCTGCAATCATACAATCATCAAGTAAAAATGTTTCATTAGGCATTTCATTTGTTACTATAAAATGTTTTCTTTAGTGTATAGCTCCATGATTTTTGACATGTGTATATACCCCGTAACCATCACCCAGCTCAAAAGATTGAACATTAGGCATTTCTAAAAACTCTAATCAACCATTAACTACAAGATCTTTTTTAAAAAGAGAATGAATTTGGGAGATAGCAAGAATTGAAAGGAAAAGAGCAGAATGAATAGTATTCAGAAATATGATTTTGTCCACAAAATGCAATGGAAAATTCTTCAATAATATCCTGCCTCTGGATGTGAATTTCTAGGCTCATTTTTCTTATCTGTCTGAAGAAAATATATTTCATAATAATTTATTATAAATGTGATATTCATGATAGAAAAATCAGAAAATAAAGATAAACTAATAGAATATAAGGACTTCTTATAATCCTAACCACCCATCATATATTAACACATTAGCATATATCCTTCCAGATCTTTTTCTACTAAATGGCTCATATTTATTTTTATTTAAATTAAAACAATACGTATTTAGTGGATATCTATAAAACCATGCCATATCTTCTGAGGAACACAATAGGTTCCTGCCCTTAGAGAGTTTAGAAGCCACTGGAGAACATGATGAAAATCACAATAATCCTAGTTTACACTTTCATGATGCTTATTATGTGCCAAGAAGGGTCCCAAATGTTTTAGATATGTTAACTTATTTAATTTTCACAAACAAGTGTGAGGCAGTAAAATATTATCTCTCTTTACAGATAAGCACAGAGAGGCAAAGCAATTTGCCTAAGACACACAGCTAATAGGTGGAAGGGCTGGGATTTAAACCCAGGGCAGTCTGGTCCTGGTGTCCCTGCTCTTTAACCCACTCTGGCACTTGCTCGTAACCATATAGAAGAGACAGTCAATACAAGATTCAGGCAATAAAAGAAAATGAGGCTTGAGTGCAACTTCATTAACAGGTAAGTCGATAGGGTCTATATTAATCTCTAGGCAGGAGATGTCATTTTGGGCTGGGATAGTGAGAAAAGTCTTCAGATTTAAAATGTATGTAAAGATTAAAAAAGAGGAAGTAGGATTCCAAAGCAGGAGGGACAGTATGGGCCAAAGCAGGGAGGCATGAAAGCACAAGGTGTGCAGAGGACAGTAAATAACCGTACTTGGCTGAGAACAGGGGACAAAGTGTGGCTGTACCTCTGTATACACATACCACATTCTGTTCCAACTTAGCCCACACTTTTTTTTAAGTTATAAAGCCAGTTTCTATTTACAAAACTAGAAAATTTAGGTATAATATTAGTTATTATTTGAATTATTAAGAAATATAAATTCCAAAGACAATATGTCATATTTGAAGATGCCTTTTGTCCCTGTGGGTTTTATCAGTTTTAAATCCCTGCAGTCATAAGAGGACTAGAGGGGTTGGATTTGTGTTCTTTTTAGGTAAAAACAGTAGTTAATATCTCATTTGTTTCATAACAGTACAGCTCCTTAAACTTTTCAACTAAGAGAAGCCTGTTCCTTAAAGACTTTTTTAAACTGTTTCTAGAAGTATATTGTTGTTAATTTTATTGAGTTCACAGAATATTACATACCTTGATGATTTGGCACATCATTAAGAAACATGAGCACTTGCTCTACTTTGAGGCAATAATGTACTCTTTGGACAGTAAGGAAGGAATGACATTCCCTTATTAGGTGGCCTCAGACTGCTTGCTCTAGTTTCCTTGCCTTTTTTAATGGCCTTTCTGCTACTTTCCTCTTTTTCAAATCTGTCAGAGGGCCTACTGAATAAAACCTCTCTCCTTCTAGTTTCAGGTATGTGAGCTGCCATGGTATGAAGACCAGATAACCAAGAAGGCCAGAACTCCTGTAAAATTAAGAGAAAATATTATGAAAGATGCCCCAATGATTTCTACTTTGGAAAAAAGGACATATGCCATAGTACATCAATTTGAAACAACTATCAATCTGCTCACAGGAGCAAAGCAGAGCAGTTTAAGAATATGGACTTAGGAGCCAGCATGTGTGGATGCAAACTCTGGCTGCGCTTACTGGGAACCTGAGTCAGCTACTTTGCTCTCAGTCTTTGAGTTTCCTCATCAATAAACATAAGGATAATAATTGTATCCTCCTAATAAAGTTGTTATGAGGATTAAATAAATTAATATTTGCAAAGTGCTTGGAATAGTGCTGGAATAGAGTAAGGGCTATGTAAACCTGATAAATTAACACCAGTAAGACACTCCCATTGGCTGTGTCCAAAGGTTAAAGTTATGAGAAGCAGAAATTCCTTCCCTTTGTGAGAGGATTATACTTTCTAACTTAAAATGTCCCCAAAGCACATATCCCTTTGATCTGGCAATTCCACTCTTGGGACTCTATTTCATAAGAAAAAAAGAAGCACCAGTGTTCACGAGAACATATGTATAAGGATTTTCACTGCAACACTGTTCATAGTGGCAACAACTGGAACTATGATACAGAGGCTAGAAAGAACGACATGGAGAGATCTTTGTGAGCTATTAAGTGAGAAAAGCAAGACACAGTAAATTATGTATGTTATGATCCCACTTTTGTAAAAGAAAAAGATGTTTATTTAGTGTATATATGCATGTGTGTGTTCTGTGTAACATGGGTCTGCATAGCATAGAGAAAAAGAAAGTTAACTTGATTCATTTCAAGGGGCAGGGATGGGGCAATGGAACATTGACATGTAATGGGTAGGAGGGCTGGGGAAGGGAATCCATGATAAAAACAGCATATAAGATATGATGCCATGTATATTAAATCACATACATGCATGCTAGGCCTCAGTTTCTTCACCTAAAAAATAATCCTTGCCTTGCCTCCCTTAAAGGGTGATGAACAGCAAATGTGAGCACAGATCTGATAGAATGCTCTGAAAATTAAAACCACATTAACAATGGAGAGATTACTATTATCTTGTTTCTTAAGACACCAAAACAATGAGAACTTACCAGAGCAGAAACCGACCAGGGACCAAATATTCCTCCTTCTCCAAACACTGGCTCGAAGAAGGGCATGACCACCAGCAACATGGCTGATGACATCGGGGCCTGGTAGTACAGCAGCTGCATCGAGTTCACCTGCAGTTCATGCTGTTTGGCTCCCACCCACTGAAAATTCGCAGATGAAACAAGTTAGGCAGGAAAAGGAACAGCAGCACTTAATAAATGAGAGATGCACATTTAGCTGCTAAGATGACCATGTAGGGTGGGACTGGGAGCAGAGGGAATGCCTAATTATTCTATAAGATGTTAAAGATCAATAATGTATATGAATGTTCATTAAGCACCTTGGATGAAAGCAGCTTCATAAATTCAATGTCTGAAAATTATTTTCTTCTCAATTTTAAAGGAGAAAAAAAATCCTTTCTTCCCTCCTGATCCTAGTAAATGGGGAAAGGCAATACACAGGGGCCCACAAGCATCAGGGGTCTTCAGAAAATAAGGGAGGAATGGAAATTGAGGTTGTAAGCAGGAATACAGATAAAGTGCCAGACTTCATTTCTTTAAAAAAATGGCCCTTAAACAGGTCAGAAGCAGGCAGTGCAGAAAGAGATTAACAGGAAACTCAGTGTTACCTGGTGGTTGCCAATGTGTGTGACCAAAAAAGTATGTGAGATCTTTTCATTCACTTTGGAAAAACCCAATCAATAGTAGAAGGCATTTTCCTCTTTATGGAAGATTTCTCTGTGGGTAATCCCCCACCAATACACCTTAAGAAATTAGATCATCACAAACCCTAAAAGACTGTATATTGTTCAGTAGAACCAACATCTCATACCATCAAATCCCATCAGTTCTCAAAACGGTTCACAAATACCACTGAAAGGGAGGCTTTAAAGACAGCCTGATAGGAGTGTTTGAATAAGATCTGGCAAGAGCTGCCAGGCTTTTGAACAACTGCTCCTAAATAATTCTTCTTCCTGTGAGTCTGGGTATCCTGTTATATAAACTCTAAGTCTATAGAAATTCACCAAGAAAAAAAATAGAAGAGTAGGAAATCCAAAACATATTCCTGTCCTGCCAGTCTTAACTAAGAGCCTTCTGTGAATATGAAGGACAAAGAATTGATTCTTCTGCTAACCACTGGTGGGGCACCGTCTGAGCAAAAATGAATGCAGAGAGTGTACGCCTGCTCCTGTTCCATAGCAGCCTCACTAGGCAGCCGTGCGTTGCCAACACAGGACCGCGTGGAATGGTGGCAGCTCTCAGGGTCCTCACCGTCCCTTACTGCAGAGCATCTTGGCCTCGGCTGCCACCTTCTAAGGAAATGACTCTCCCAAAAGACACCGTCACCTCCATGGACACATCCAAAGGACTCCCCTCAGCCCTCTAGCTTCCAGGGCTCTGCAGAACCTGCACATTTATCAGAAGAACAAGACTTCTGGTTTGCCCAGTTTCCTCACTCCTTCCTTCACTTACGCTTTTTAATGTATGTCTGGCCTTCCTCTTTTATCTACCTGCCTGCCTGACCTTTTTTACTATCCGCGGACATCCACAGCTCTGATCTCCTTCCCTGAGCATCCTTCAACTTACATCTTCAACATCTTACCAGCCATCTTCACTTCGATAATCTGCAGGGAGCCACTCATAACTTCCTTCCCCAAATTAGCTACTCCTGTATCAATCTCACAATCAACAATAGAATCTCCTCCCAGGATCAGCTGCCTTACTTTTCTCACTTTCAAATTCAGTCAGGTCCTATTCTTTCTCCAAAAGGTTCCAGGAGTCTTTTTTTCCTTTCCATGTCGATGACTACTGACTGTTCAGGCCCTTCCCATCTTCCTGTTGAACCACAGAGAGCTTCCAGACTGCTCTGCCCCTCACCCATTTACCCTCCACTGCTACCAGACTTAACTTTATAAAACATAGGGATGGATCGAGTCGTGCCCCTACCCAACTCCCTTAATGGTGCCTGCAGTACTAAGAGCACACCTCTGGGCATGACATTCAAGGCTGCCATCTGGTCTCACCCATCCCTGAGCCTGGTCCTGCCAAAATATGGCTTAAGTCTGGTCTCACCAAACAAATCAAGTGCTCCAAAAATGCTCCGTACTTTCACACATCTTTCAAAGAAAGACTTCTACTCTATTTTTTTGCTAAGGAAATCCCTGTGGGTCCTTCGATTTCAGCTGTGAACTTTTCCATAGTCTTACCTCACTATCCCTCTGAAGAACTGCCATTTCCTCTACCCTGAGCTGCACTGCTTGTGATAAGCTGTCTAGCTGGGTTCCACAATGCTGGATTGTGGCTACTTTTCATCTTTGTACCCTCAAGGCTAAGGATCAAGTACAAGAAATGTCTGCTGAATGATGAGTTAGCTGTCTTTCCGGAACTGAAGCTAATAGCTGATCATTCATCTTTTAATTCCTTTTAATGCCCCAGTACTATAAGAAGGAATAGCTTAGAAATTACTCCTGGGCATAATGGGAAAATACAACTTTTTTTAAGATGAATTTTTGGGGAATATACCTAGTCTGCAGCAGTACCTTTATCATTTACTGAAACGGAAAACTTCTCCAATTAGTCTACAGTCATTTGTTGGCCAATCTCATCTCACATATCTACTTCAGCAGAATCCTCAGAGTCGATCGATAGCAATTTTAAGACTTATGGACAGTGAGTACTCTAAACGAAATTATGTATAAAGAATACAAGAAATTTTAATGCTCAACAAATAAAATCTCTTGCTATTTCAAATAAACATTTAAATGTATTCAACCCCAGAATTCTTATGTAACAATGTTTCTGAAATAATTGGTACTAGGAAGTTTAAGATGCTAAGACTTTATTATTCAACTCCTGAGATTCATAACAAGAATATCTGAGTTTATAACCAGTGAATATTTGTGAAAAAAGTACAATCGGTTACACACTTTGGCTCTGATTCCCCATGCAGGCACACCCAGAATTTCCAGTCCAAGGTTTTCAGTAAAGAGAAAATACTGTTTCACTGTATCCTACTCTAAGTTATCTTCCCCCAACTAAATAAGAAGCAAAAATCCTATTTGTTGTGATTTTATGGTAATGAAGAAATGAATCCATGAAAAAATTTTTAATGCATGTCTGCGATAGGCAAAGCACTTGTGCTAGTACAAGAAAGTACAAGAAGTGAAATACCCACATCTATACAGTATCAATACAGACAAATTATTAGAAGCCAATACATAAGTAGTAATAGCAACCTATTTTTTGAGGGAAAGATTTATAGAACTGCAATTTTCCTTCCCTGCTCAAATTTTTGGCAGTGTACTCAATCCTTCAAAGTAATGTTGTAATTCAAGAGTAAATGATAAATATAACCAGTAAACTCGGGCCTCAAGTACAAAGTCTTAGTCATTTTGTAAAGATTTCCCAGAAAATTTACACATTATCACCCTAAACCCAGACTGTTAAGCATGGGTATTATACACTTACAAACAGGTAGGTAGGTATTTGGTGAACATCACACACCCAAGTCTGTCTCCTTTCTTCTCTTCACCTTGAGTCAGACAGTTTAAGCAATTACGCTTTCTTCCCAAGTCTATTGCCTCTATACTGTATTTTCTAAACCTTGGGATACAGCTTCAAAAGAAATAAAATCTGCTAAAAAGGCACATGAAGAAAAAAAAATTACCAACCACTTGATACAGAGATGTAACTACAACACCAAGAGCAGCAAACAGCAATCCAAGGAAATTAAACTTCACATCATAATAAGAATTTAGGATTACACCTAAAGTTATAGGAATCTGTAAAGAAAAAGAGGTAAAGTTATTCAGATTAAATTCATGAGCCATAAATTGAGCATCCTTTCATAGTGTCTTACAAGGATAATCATAAAAACATCGAGAAACAATGAACCTCTATAAATGTTTTTTTTCCATTTGAGAAAACAACCGTTAGTCCTATTTCCTCAAAATGAAATATGGTAATTCTGTATTTATGTTCATATTTAATTCTATTTAAAATTCTGGGTAGAATAATGGATGCATTGCACTTTGCAAGAAACGAATACCACATGCATGCACATAGGAGTAAATGGACCCCCAAGTGTCTAAACAACGTACAAACTTAAAAGTATAACGAAAGCATTAAGATTTTAAGTACTGTTATTAAGTGCTAAAATTATTTTAGTCTATCTCCTTAAGACTAAGAAACTTTTGCAGTACGCAGGCATGCTGAGAATGGTATTTTACGCTAACCCTTTAAAGTTTATCAAACACGGTTTGATTCCCTCGGGGAGAAGGGTCATTTTTCAGTTTGAGCGTTCGCAGATATTCCGATATAGTGAATTACATCACCTAATACAGCTTTCTTTTCTTACCGATTACAGCATTTAAGGAGTTGCAATCAAACAGTAGTTATTAAAACTTACACAAGGACACTCTTCTGGATTATAGAGCCCAGATGGTTTTTTTCCCTCCACTTCTCCCAAATAAAACTTAATTTCATATGCTCACAGATATCTCATTTGTGGATTTCAAGAAGATGGGAAAGACAGAGGCGCGAGGTTAAACATTCAAATTTCCCGGGCAGAGAGGCGGTCCAGGGGGTTGGGTTGTTAAGAGGTGTGCCTGGCGAAGCTGAAGCTACTCACCAGCGTGAGCTGTATTTTGAGAGAGAAGGTTTTCTTGTAGCAGAGGGTCTGGATAACTATGATCACCGGCGTGGTCATAGCCTTGGCCAGCTGATAGGTGCCTATGGTGTTGTTTTGCAGAGAGAGGTTGGTGAAGACCACGAAGCCGCAGAAGCTGAGGGCCAGGAGGAGGAGCTTGGAGAGCGGCAGGCTTTTGGGGGCAAAGATGTCCAGCTTCTGGCAGAGATACAAGCCCAGCCAGGTGACCACAAAATGCACGAGCGTCAGGCTCATGTTGGGGAAGCCGTGGTGCACATAGATCCATTTGTTGAGGAACACGATGCAGGAGGACACCAGTAGGTTGAGCAGGAGACCCGCGGCGATGCGCCCGTTGCCCCGCAGTCGGTCCGCCAGCGATGCCATGACCCCCGGGAAGCCGGGGCCCTTCAGCCTCCGAGAGGGACACCCCGCCTGTCTCCGGCTGCCCTTGCCCTCCTCCGCCGCCGCCGCCGCGTCCTCGCAGCCGCCGGCTTGACGGTCCGGCCAGGAACAGGCATGCACCTCCCGATCCGGCGAGCAGCAGCCTCAGGAGCACACACGCGTGCTCCGCCACCGCCCATTCTGACGCTAACGACGCGGCAGCACGTCCCGCGCTCCCCGCCCCGCCCCCGACCACGTGGCCCAGGCGCCCCTCGTTTCCGCCCTGTCCCTCTCCCCGCCCTAGCTACGCAGGCGCGTTGGGGGCCGGGTGCGGGAAGCTTTGAGGTTCTCCTCCAGGCCCTGTGGTTGCCCAGCCCGGCACTAGCTGGGTCCCCTCCCAGGGTGCGCGACGCTTCCTGTGTGTCAGATGCCTCACTTGCTGGACAGCTGCTCTCAAAGCTGGTGGAGGGCAGACACTTGTTGGCGAATTTTATGTATGACACAGGTGCTGAACAAATTTAGTCATTGGCAGAAGAGGGGAAAGCACTGGTTCTTGAAAGCATATTTTTAAACATTTAATTAAAAAAATCCAAACATGCAGAAGAGTAGACAGTATAGTAATTCTCGTATACTCATAATGGCTCGTAAACTATTCACATTTTTTTGAGTCAAATGTTTGGCCTTTTCATTGTTCTAGAAAAGAACATATACTAATGAACATGTTCTAATATACTTGTTTAGAGTTGTATATAGTATTCTACCATATTTTAAATTTATTTCATCTGTTGGTACATCACTTATTCTAACCATCATTCATTTGGGTTTTCTTTGTTCCTGGATTGTCTAGACAGTAATTTGTCAATTACACTGGCCTTTTCAAAGATCACTTCTACTGTTTTTTTTTTGTCATTACTTTTTTCATTTGACTTTTCTCCCCTAATTTCTTGAATAGAATGTTCAATTCGTTTATTTGAAAATGAAAGTATTTATGGCTATGAGTTTCCCCCTTGAGAATAGCTTTGCCCACAGTCCTCAGGTCAATGTAATATTCTGTCTTTAATTCCTAAGCAATCTGATTGACAGTTTTAATTTCCTCTTCGATAGAATTTTTCAAATAATGAGCACCTGCTTTGCACCAAGCATTATCTTTCTTTGGCACTTGGGAGGTGAGAATAAAACCAGCTCAGAACTTAGTGAGAGGAGACTGGTACTAAACAATGAGAAATCATCATAGATGAATATTCTGAAGTAACAAAATATGGTCCTATAAAGGTGTAAAGAACTTGATCTAAACTTGGGGAGGAAGAGGTGGTCAAGGGCTTCCCTAAGGAATTGATGCTTAAACTAATACTTGAGAATGAGTAGAATTTGGCAATATCTGAAGTCTAGTTTTCCTAACATAACTTGGCTTTCCAGGTAAGCTTTTCTTCCTATCATACCACCAAACTACCAATTCTTATTGTACATGTGCTTTTTCCACTGTATATTTATATTGCCATTCTTCCAGTTTGGATTACAGAACCCTGCCTGGTCAATAATTTAGGATGTCTACCCTCACCTGCTCCCAGATTAAGATAAGAGCCTGGGCACAGGTGCCCCAATCCTTACTCATCCTGAAGTGTGTTTATTATTCTTATTCTCATTTAAAGATGTTGAAAATACAGGCTCATGGCTGTTATCTTGCAGTTAGCATGGGATGATGACACTAAGATTCAAAGCCAAATTGCTCTAACTCCCCAGGTCATTGCAATGAAACCTCCAAAAAGTTTTTATTATGGAAAACTTCAAACTTGGGCTAAGTTAAAATAGTAGTGTGAACCTTCCTGTAGCCATCACATGGTTTCACCAACTGCCATTCTTGTTTCATGTACACCTACGCCCGTACAAGTTTTGACAAACAGATGCACCTTTGTAACCTATAGCCATCAAGATACAGAACACTTCCACAAAATTTCCTAGAAAATCCCCACCCCACCCCTAAGAGGAAACCACTCTTCATAATTTTTCACACCATAGTTTGGACTATTTTAGAACTTCATATAAATGTATCATACAATACATATTCTTTTTGTCTATGTTCTCTTAAGTAGATCTGTTCTTTCCTGTCTATACTGCTCACTATATTGTTTTGTATAAACATACCACTATTTCTTTAGTCATTCTCCTGTTGATGGGCATTTGGGTCACTTCCAGTTTTTGACTATTTCAAACAATGCTGCCGTGAATACTTTTGTACGTGTTTCTGTGGAATTCATTTTTATTTCTCTTGGGTAAATATACAGGGGTGAAATTTCTGGGTTATAGGATAGGTGATAGCTTATGAGGATGTCAATACTTTTCCCAAAGATTGCACTTGTCAGTCTCTTTGATTTTAGCCATTCTGATGGATATGTACTGGTACCTTGTTTTAATTTGCATGCCTCACTGATTTGAGTACTTTTCATTATGTATGTTATGAAATACATACATAATGATTATNCAGTTTTTGACTATTTCAAACAATGCTGCCCTGAATACTTTTGTACGTGTTTCTGTGGAATTCATTTTTATTTCTCTTGGGTAAATATACAGGGGTGAAATTTCTGGGTTATAGGATAGGTGATAGCTTATGAGGATGTCAATACTTTTCCCAAAGATTGCACTTGTTGTCAGTCTCTTTGATTTTAGCCATTCTGATGGATATGTACTGGTACCTTGTTTTAATTTGCATGCCTCACTGATTTGAGTACTTTTCATTATGTATGTTATGAAATACATACATAATGATTATGTATATTGTCTGGTTATATATGTATCTTCCTTTTTGAATTATCTTTTCTTTTTGTCTTATTACTGAGTTTTAAGTGTTCTTTAAACATTCTGGGTATGAGGGGTTTTTGTTTTGCAAATATTTCTCCCCATAGGAGGTTGACTTTTTATAAATGGTCCTTTGATGAGCATAAGTTTTATATTTTGATGAAGTCTAAGTAATTATTTTATGGTATTGATTTGTCTTTTGTATAGGAAATCTCTGCCTACCTTCAGGTCATTAAGATATTCTCTAGTTTTCTTAAAAGCTTTAACAGGTTTTAGCTTTGATATAGCTTACAATCCATCTCGGATAAATTTTCTGTATGATATAAAGTGGAGGTCAAGGATCACTTATTTTCCATATAGTTGTTACATCTCAATTAACTCCACCTAAATCTTTTGACAATTTTTAAATCTATAGAAAAGTTGAAAGCCTAGTATGACACTCCTGTGACCTTTACATAGATTAACTAGTTAACATTTTGCCACGTTTATCTATGTACTTATTTTAAAGCTAAACCATCTCAAAGTATAGACTTCATAACCTTTCATCTCTAAGTATTTTAGTATGTATCCCCTAAGAGTAAGGACACCCTCCTACCTAGCCATAGTACCATTATCACACCAAAGGAAAATTAATGTTAGTTCAATTGTAAGAAAATTGGTATTAATTTTATATAAAATCATAACTAATGGACAGGCGGAGCCAAGATGGCGACGTGAGCAGAGCAGTGGAAATCTCCTCCCAAAAACACATAGAGCTTTGAAAATATAACAAAGAAAAATCTTCCTAAAATAGGGCCCACAGGACACAGGACAAAATCCAGACCACATCCACACCTGCAAGAACCCAGCGCCTTGCGAAGGGGGTAAGATACAAGCCCCGGCCGGCAGGACCCGAGTGCCCCTCCCCCCGGCTCCTGGCGGGTGGAAAGAAACTGGAGCGT